ACCCAACCGCGTGACGAGCTGTCCCAACGGCACAATTGCAGCTGGCAGCCCATCCCTCCCGGGAGGCGTGAGTATCACCCCGTGTTTGGTGATGCGCATGTGGGACGCGTGGCCCCCCGCTAAACCCACCTCCACCTGCTCTGCCTCGAGCCACTCCTCCTGTGACGATGCTGGTCTTAAAGGATGCGTTGCGCCGGAATCTACCAAACCGAACACGTTCACACCCTCAGGCGAGTTTGTAGGGACGCATGTGGGGCAGTGGATCGTCAAGCTCTGCATAGAGGGATTCCGGGCCGCATCACCTCCCGATGCTTTGACTGAAACTTCTGCCCTTTCGTTGGCCTCTACCTGCCTAATGGCCCTTAGCGCCTCTTGCACGAACTCGACCATGCTCGCGTTCACCGGAGTTGCAGGCACAATGGGTTGAGACGCGGATGAAGTGGATGACACGGCAGCTGAGTCGGACTCACGAATGGGGTCAGCTGCTTGAAGTGTTGGCGTTGACGGTTGGGCCGTTGAGTCCTGCTTAGCCTTGCCAGCTTTGCAATCTCTTGCACGATGCTCCTCTGACCCGCACGCCAAACACTTCTTGTCCCTTTCAGTTTTGGGGAGTTCACTCATGTTGTGGGCAAATTTGCACTTGGGCCCACTTCTACACCCTTTGACAGTGAGGAAGAACCTGCATGGCTTTGCCCCGCCTCCCCCAGCGCCTTTCCCGGAAGGTCGGTTTCCACCACCTGATGCGTCGGCGGCTGCATTCAACACCTGGACCTTGGGATTGGGATCTACCTTCCTTGCATCTATCCCCCCAGCCATGGTTTCAAACTCAGCCAACAGGTGTTTGTGGTAATCCAGAACCTCATCTCCCGATGGGTGCAGATCAATGTGCAACGCGCTGCGCACGCACTGGGTCCGGAACTGGACATCTGCGTTTTCGGCTATGTGCTGGGCAGTCACAGTAGTCAACCCACGGGCCAAAATCGAAGGATCCGGGGCAACCATACCACACTCCAAACAACGGCGATGCCAACGACTCCACGATCTCAACAGACTCACTCCGGCTGCCACGTCCTCAAACGGCGGTGGGTCGTGCAAGTTCCTGAGTATCAGATCACGCTCGCTGGTTCCACCTGGCTGGTAGATCGTGTGCAAGCGGTACATGATGTGCGCTGCGTTTTGCGTTGCCCTGCGTGCTATAATGTCTGCTTTGACGGACGCGTCCAACGACTCCAACAACATGGAACATGCCCTGGCATTCACACGCGACCACTTGCCCTCAACAATCTCCGTCCTGTCATCCGGGGCCACTCTCAACCGCTCCACGGGGGACGAAGTGCTCCAACAGGCAAAGGCATCACGCGCCAACTGCAAGACGCTTGTCCACCAAAGCTGCGACGAATCCGACAAGTCTGTCATCAATCCGCTGACCAACTCAAGCCAATCCTGGAACTCCAAAGAACCACCTGACGGGTCAGGGGCAACAAGTTTGGGCAGCGTTGTGATGCCTGGTTTCACTGCTTCAGGGGCGTCGTCACCTTTGACCTTGAGCTGCTGAGCTTGCAAGCTTTGCAGCTGCTGCACCCCTAAAACCAATGCGTCCACAACTGAACCTGGCACCTGAGCTGCAGTGGAGGCTGAAACGTGAGGAACCTGAGCGTCGGGCACCTGCCCGACCCTCCCGGGCGGCGTTTGGCCTGCAGCGCTGGCAAAACCGCCTGAAACCTGAGGATTTGCTGGAATCTGCCACAAACCCAGGTTCTCGGGCCGAGCATGTGGACTTGTGCCGGAATTGGTCCCGTCAGCCCTCATCTGCCCCAGACCTAGGTTTTCGGGCTGAGAAGGTGGGTCTGGACCAGAAGAGGCCCTGTGAGTACCTGGCACCTGTGCATCCTGGGCAGTACCTGGCACCTGTGCAACCTGGGCAGATTGAGCCAGGGGCTCACGCACATGCCCAGCCCTTCCGGGTGGGGTTGCATTGCTGGGCAACCTTTGCGAACCCTGCAAACCCGACCACAAATTGGACCAAAACCCTGATGCAGACGCAGGCGCCCTCAATGCGTCCATCACCTGCAAGGTGGCATCCTGCACCTGATGGGCAGATGGTGCTGGCAGAGGGGCCTCAACATGCGCATGAGCGGCATTAGGGATTAGAGGTGGGCCACTTGGGGTCTGTGCTTGCATTGACACTACTTCCCGCATGGACCTCTCTCTCTGCTCACTCCTCTCAAGTAGCTGCCTCAACCTCTGATTCTCCATCTCCTGCGCCTGGGCTCTAGCCTCAAAACCTGCAAGCTGCCTGGCAACCTCTGCTTGAATTGCCTCTTGAGGGAGCGATGACGACTCGGTACGACTTGAGGGGCGTTCAGGCGCTACAACTCGCGGATAGATTAGTGGGGCCCGCTGCTCAATAGCCTGCATGCGTTGCAACATCTCTGCGTTAAGTAGCGGGGCTTCCCTTCTGGGGCCCGGGGCGAAAGTGGTTTGAGTCCCATGCGATCCCACCAGCGGCGACTCACTTGACCCCACACTCCCATCCTCCAAAGCCCTTACCCTGGACACGGCACCAGGGCTTGCTTGCGCGAAAACTGTGCGTGGCGGCGACTGAGTTTGTGTTTGCACCTCAGTCCTAGCAACGCGGAAAAACTCTGAAACCCGCGACAGTACCACACCAGGAATACCCTCTACCATTTCTGCTATGGCGGGCAAACCTTGCTGCGAGCGTGGTGTCACGAATCCCTCAACTCCGGGGGCCTCACCAGTTAACCCTATACCCCCCGAACCACTGTCCCCACCCTGGTCTGTAACCTGACGGTATTCACGCAAGATGTCTGGACTGTGCTCGGTGTTGGCCTCTGGTCCTGGACTTCCGCCCGGTGGCTGCAATGCTCGCGGCATGCTTCGGGGCACACCTTGCAACATACCACCCGCAGTGGTGGTCGACGAGTGCTGCATGCCTTCTAATGGGTCTATGCTCGCTCCCGCCCTTCCCGCTGCCATATCTTCCCCAAAACCCAAACCACCCTCAATGCCGGCGGTGGGTGCCTCAGGTGTTGAGGAATGCATCTGTGCACGTTCTGGCATACCATCCCTCCCGGGCGGTGGGGATGGATGCACCGGCACGGTGCCGTAGCCCTGCGTTGGGCTCATAACCTGCTGATGTGAGCCACCAGCAGGCTGAGCAGAAGGCACAAGTGGAGTAGCTAGTTCCCCTATGCCTAAACCCAACCCTGCCATGGCGCACACTGAGGCGGAGATTTTACACGCAGAAACAAGAACCTGTAAAGCTTGTGCTACTTGGTTAGGCTTGGCACCTACAACTATGTGAAATGCTGTACATACTTGAAATGATGTCATGCTCAAGGCTTGGGCCTACAAGAGCATTGGGAAAAAACACATGGTACAACTGCTACAGGATGACATGTACAGGAGTAGGCTTCAACACTAAACCCTAAACTGGCCCTAAAACCCCAAACCCTAAACCCTAAACCCTAATTAAACCCCAAACCCCAAACCCCAAACCCTAAACCCTAAACCCTAAACCCTAAACCCCAAACCCTAAACCCTAAACCCTGAACCCTAAACTTAGCTGACAGCCGTCCCTGGATTCAGCACGGGAACCCTCGAGTCGATGATAAGATCCTCCTCCTCCCCGAAGGGAGGCCCTGAACCCATGAAGCCCTTGCAGCCACCAAGCCCTTTACAGGCCCCAAGGGCCTGAACCCTAAACCACAAACCCTAGGGTTTAGGGTTTGGGGTTTGGGGTTTAGGGTTTAGGGTTTCGGGTTTCGGGTTTAGGGTTTAGGGTTTAGGGTTTAGGGCTTAGGGTTTAGGGTTTAGGGTTCCCAAACCCTGAGGTTTTATTGTTTAGTGTTCAGGGGTCCCGGGCCTTGCGAAGGCCTTGGAAGCTGCCCTCCTCGTCGTTTGGGCGGCACCAGAGCTCCTACGCAGACATCCCAAAACCCAGAAGCCCAACAAAGCTCTGAGGGTTTAGGGCTTAGGGTTTAGGGTTTAGGGTTTAGGGTTTAGGGTTTAGGGTTTAGGGTTTAGGGTTTAGGGTTTAGGGTTTAGGGTTTAGGGTTTAGGGTTTAGGGTACCCCAAACCCCAAAACTTCCCAAACCCCGCCCCCCCCCCGCCCCCCAAATTCCCCGAAACTCCGAAAACCCCTCAGGCCCCAAACCCGAAGCGTCCCCTCAACACCTAAACCCTCCTCAGCCCCAAAACTCTAGATTTAGGGTTTTGGGGCTTATGGTGTGTGAGGGGGGGGGGGGGACTCTTCAGCATCAGATCACTGGATCTTACACGTGTACACTAAACGAGCGCAACATGCAAAAAGGCGCGGCGAGCCGCAGTCAGTTCAGCAGTAGCCCCGCGCAGTTTTAGGGGTTTAGAGGTTGAGGGCTTAGAGGATGAGGCATTCTGCGTTTAGGTTTTTGGGGCTTAAGTTCGCTAAGCCCAAAACCCTAAACCCAAAACCCAAAACCCTAAACCCTAAACCCCAGCGACACATAATCCCAAAGTGCTGTTCGGTCCTGGAGCTCGGCCAGCTGGGGCAGACCTCGGCTACTAAGCCCAAGAGTGACCTAGGAATAACAAAGGTTCAGGGTTTAGGGTTTCGGGTTTAGGGTTTAGGGTTTTGGGTGGCCCAAGAGTAACCCTGGAATAACAAGGGTGCCCTTTTGGGTTTGAAGGGGCGTATACTGGAACCTAAACCGCCACAAAAGGGGAATGCGGACCTGCTCTTGGTCATGGGAAAGATCGCTAGACCACAGGACATGGGTTTTAGGGTGATTGGGGGGGAACAGGGCTCTTAGGGGTGTTTAGGTTTTTGTTTTTCTTTTTGAGGGTTTTCGAGGGTTTTGAGTCTTTTGAGTCTTGAGGGTTCAGGCTAATTCTTGCACCCTTCCTTCATTATGGGGGCCCATCTGATAGCAGGAACCCTCACAAAAGCCCCAGAAATAGGTCGAGACCCCAATGGGGTTTCGATTTGGATGGGTTTTACGGTTTGATTAGAAGTTTGGGTGTGCAATTCCTTATAATGCCAGTTGAATAGTCTTCTCTTCGCGGTTGTAATGATTCCCGGGTCTAGAAGTTAATCTAGAAACGTTTCATGAAGATAGAGACCGTACCACCCCCAAAGCCCCTGTAATTCTATGTGATGAGACTGTAGATGAAATAAGCTCTAGATTCAAGGACCTTTTCTCCCCTCAGGGTGTTAGGGCAGAGGGCGGGCATGGGGCTTCGGAGTCTCCGGTATGGGAGGTCCCCCTGGTCCCTAAACCCTAACCCTAAACCCTAAACCCTAAACCCTGAACCCTAAACCCTAAACCCTAAACCCTAAACCCTAAACAGGGAGGTTTGGCTGTGAGGAGCCAAAAGGTTCGCTTTGGGCACAGTGCCTGAACCCCAGGCTCCTGGCACTCTCAACCAGCGACTCTTGCTTAGGGTTTAGGGTTTAGGGTTTAGGGTTTAGGGTTTAGGGTTTAGGGTTTAGGGTTTAGGGTTTAGGGTTTAGGGTTTAGGGTTTAGGGTTTAGGGCCCCTAAATCCCACTCTTCCCGCTGGCAAATGCAAGGCTCAAGAGTAACCTACAAAAGGTAGCAACAAGGCCTACTCAGAAGAATACTTGGAAGCCCTTCCGACTTTGTAAGCCTACTTAGTATCCCCCAGAAACCCTTTACAATCCCCATAACCCAACTTACTACCCCTAAACCCTAAACCCTAAACCCTAAACCCTAAACCCTAAACCCTAAACCCTAGACCAAGTAGGCATCCAAGGGTCCCCTTCCACGCAACTCCAGGGCTGCCAGGGCGAAGTGGGCGCAAGTCTGTCCGCAACGAAAGCGATGGAGGGGTGTAGGGCTTGAGGCTTCTAGGGTTTAGGGCTATCTATCTAGTCAAAAAATTGCACTCTATATATATATATATATATAGTATACATATATATATATATATAGTATACATATATATCTATATATGCTTAGTTGTTTTGGCTTTCTGTCTTGATGGGGGGTTGAGGCTAGAGTTTCTTGGGTCGTGGGGTTCAGGGCTTGTCTCTTAGGTGGATGTTGAATTTGTGCTTTATGTCGGGTTCGGGTTTGTTCCGGGGGCCTGCTGGGGCTTAAAAGCGTCCTTCGATCTTCATCAGGCTGCGCGTTCAAGCCCTGAGCAAGGCTTCGGGTCTAGAGGGCTTAGGACCTGCCCTCTAGGGCTTCGGACTTAGGGTTTAGGTAAGGCTCAGAGTTTGGGATTTAGGGTTTAGGGTTTAGGGTTTAGGGTTTCGCACTTGGGGGGCTTCGCATGCCCCTCAAGAACGGCAGCGCAGGGCAACTCTCCGGCCCGCTTGGAGCCTGGTTGGCAGACCCAGCGCCCTTCGCCAGCTGCAGCTGCTTGACCTGCTAGGACACGCTAACCGCAAAAAGCCCTAGAACCTACAGGGTGGGGCCCCCTTACTATACTAACTGTAGCTAAGGGACTTATAACCTAATTTAGGGTCCTTATAACCCAATTTAGGGCCCTTATAACTCTACTTATAACTAGGGGGCCCCACCCTGTAGGATGCTCAGTAACCCAGGATTAAAAAGGGTACGCTTTTTTTGTTTAAAGGGGTTTCTAAGGGAACCTAACCCCCCCCAAAAGGGAATAAGGGCACTACTGGGCATCCTAGGAACCAAAACCACATTTATTAAGCTCTATAAACACCCCCCCCCCCCCCCCAAAAAAAAAAAAACACACACACACACACAAAAACCTTAAACAACCGAAAACAAAACCAAAATAACACCCTTCAAAAAAAAACAAACTAAACAACCCGAAGAACCTTAACAAAACCCAAACCCTAACACCCTAAAACCCTGAACCCTGAAAAATCCCGAAACAATCCTCAGAAACCTTCACAACCCAAACAACCCCAAACCCCTTAAAAACCACTACTAAACCCTAAAAAGCCCTAAAAAACCATTAAAGTACCCGTTTAAAAACCTAAAAGAAAACACGGGCTATGGGTTGGTTTAGGGTTTAGGGTTCAAAGTTTAGGGTTTAGGGGTTCTATTCTATTTGGGAATAGGAAACTCCGGGCTCAGGGGTTTGGGGTAGGAATAGTGGATCAAGGGTTTAAGGGTCTAAGTTCTAAAGGTTTCAGGGTTTAGGGGTTTAGGTGCGTGTGCAGGCAGAGAGCGTGCCTCTCTTTAGAACTTAAGGGCGGACACCCTTTGCCATGCCTCCCCAGCCACTCTAGCCGTTCTTCGCAGTTGAGGGTTAAGGCTCTATTGGGCAATAGGGTCCCTAGAACCCTAAGACCCTATAGCCCTAAACCCGAAACCCGAAACTCGAAACCCTAAACCCTAAACCTTTAAACCCGAAGCCCGAAACCCTAAACCCTAAACCCTAAACCCTAAACCCTGAACCCTGAACCCTGAACCCTAAACCCTAAACCCTAAACCCTAAACCCTAAACCCTAAACCCTAAACCCTAAACCCGAACCTCTGGGGCAACGGCCATCATGCCAGTGCAGAGGTGTCTGAAGGATGGCTCTCTCGGCTCCCAGCCTGTCAGGACTTTGGGGTTTAGGGTTTAGGGTTTAGGGTTTAGGGTTTCGGGTTGAGGGTTTAGGGTTTAGGGTTTAGGATTCATGGTTTAGGGGCTGATTAGTACATGGATCCGGAACTTTAGGGAGACCTTAAATATGGGGGGGGGGGGGGGGGGGGGGGGTGGGGTGCTTTACATTATGGCTCCTTTTGGTACCCTACTTACACAGGGGGCCATACTTTGGGAACATCTCAAGTCCTGATTCCCCAAACCAAAAACCCCAAACCCCAAACCCCCCAAACCCCCCAAACCCCAAACCCTAAACCACACCAAACCCTAAACCCTAAACCCCAAACCCCAAACCCCAAACTCCAAACCCCAAAACCCCAAACCCCAAACCCCAAACCCCAAACCCCAAACCCCAAACCCCAAACCCTAAACCAAATTAAACCCTAAACCCTAAACCCTAAACCCTAAACCCTAAACCCTAAACCCTAAACCCTAAACCCTAAACCCTAAACCCTAAACCCTAAACCCTAAACCCTAAACCCTAAACCCTAAACCGCAGCTGAGCCTTCGATGGCGCCATATGTCTCCTGGCCCAGCAGTAGGTACCGACGCTTTGCGGTCGAAGTGTCTGGGGTTTCTAGGGGTTTAGGGTTAAGGGTTAAGGGTTAAGGGTTTAGGGTTTAGGGTTTCGGGTTTAGGGTTAGGGTTTAGGGTTTAGGGTTTAGGGTTTAGGGCTAGGGCTCAAGGCTTCTGGATTTCCGGGTTGCAGGATGTCGGGGCTCAAACCCTAAAAACATAACACACCCCGAAAAATTGGGGACCTGACAGCAGAAGCTTTGTTGAGCGCGGTCCGGAACAAGCCTGGCATCCTGAGCCCTAGAAACCCCTAACACCCTAAACCCTAAACCCTAAACCCTCAACCCTAAGCCCTAAACCCACAGGATAATGCCGGAACAAGCTTGGCACGCGATCCCCTAACCGGAGGGAGTGGAAGGTTCACGGGTACCGGGTACTTATAAGTAGGGTTATAGGTATGCCAACTGTGTACATGTACGTAGTAGTATGTACATATGAATATACGCTTATACATATATATATATGTCACTCTTAAGCTCAGGTACATACAGAAAATTCAACTGCAGCGCCCTTGAGACACAAGTCTAGAAGGGTGCCAGGTACCTCAACTCCACCATCAGAGTGCAAACGCTGCTTATGACATTTAGGCTTCCAACAGGATGAGGGTTGAGGGTTGAGGGTTGAGGGTTGAGGGTTGAGGGTTGAGGGTTGAGGGTTGAGGGTTTAGGGTTTAGGGTTTAGGGTTTAGGGTTTTAGGGTTTAGGGTTGTAGGGTTTTAGGGTTTTAGGGTTTAGGGTTTAGGGTTTTAGGGTTTAGGGTTTAGGGTTTAGGGTTGAGGGTTGAGGGTTGAGGGTTTAGGGTTTAGGGTTTAGGGTTTAGGGTTTAGGGTTTAGGGTTTGGGGTTTGGGGTTTGGGGTTTAGGCTCAAGGCCGGGGCCCTTGCTTCACCTCAAAGCTGCAACTTTGCGTACTATAAGGGGCCTGAATAAGTAGAATAGGGTTTTGGGGGGGGTTATTGTAGTATAAGTATATAGGGACTGCAAGGGGACATTATTAGTAATTCTGCCGGAACTTTCAAGTCAAGTAGGGATCTGGAGGGCATGGGTCTCAAATCCTGAAGACTACAAGGATCACGACTTCCACCTGACACATCGCATGTCCTGATCAACCCAAGACCGAAGCACCGTGCCCCAAATCTCCCGAGCGACTGTATACTACATACAGCCGTCCTCACCGGAGTCTAGATCCAAGGAGAAAAAAAACCCAAAAACCCTGAAGCGCAGTACCTTGCACTGACTCCACCACCCAAAAGCCCGCAAGCCCATGCACCACAAGACAGCTCACAAGCTAGAACCTCAAACCCTAAACTCTAAACCCTCAAACCCTCAAGCCTCAAACCCTAAACCCTCAACAAACCCTGCAAGCCTTTTCAGCCCGAACCCTTCCTGCGCCCTGGAAACCCTATATGTCCAGCTGTGCTAGGCCCTACCAACCCTTCAAACCCTAAACCCTAAAAAACCCTAAAAAACCCTAAAAAACCCTAAAACACCCTAAAAAAACCCTAAAGAATCCCTAAAAAAACCATAAAAAAGCCCTAAAAACACACTATAAAAACCCTAAAAAAACCCTCAAAAACCCTAAAAAGCCCTTAAAAACCCTAAAAAAAACCCTAAAAACCCTGAACAGGGCGCCTCAAGGAACCGCAAGCAGTTGGCCCTGCTCAGTCCCCCAAGAACCTGGATGCAAGCAACAGGAGCTCAGCCCATCAGCCAGGGGGGAAGCAGGTTTAGAGTAGCCCTAAACCCTAAACCCTAAACCCTAAACCCTAAACCCTAAACCCTAAACCCTAAACCCTAAACCCTAAACCCTGAACCCTAAACCCTGACACCTATAAGCCCGAAACCCTAAACCCTAAACCGTGTAAGCCCTAAACCCTAAACCCTATAAGCCCTAAACCCCAAACCGTGATAACTGGGGTCTGGGGGTGTCGGGTTCAAGTTTAGGGTTTGGGCGTGGGGTTTCGAGGTTGCCTGACCCCCCCAACCCTCATACCTAGCGGGGATCCGAGTCTTAGTAGCCGAGTAAACAGATTATAATCAGGGCACCCTTTTAGGGGTCCCTAAACCCTAAACCCTAAACCCTAAACCCTAAACCCTAAACCCTAAAGCCGAAACCCCAAACCCTAAACCCTAAACAAAAAACTGAAAAGGGCACCACTGGGCTGCCAAGAAGTTAGCGGCTTTTTGGAGCTTGGAGGTCATAACAACCACACTCCCCGCTTCCACCCTCCCTAGAACCCTAAACCCTAAACCCTAAACCCTAAACCCTAAACCCTAAACCCTAAACCCTGAAATAGAGAGGGTAACCTTTTTGGTTTAACGGGGCTCATACGGGAACCTAAACCCTGAAAAAGTGAATAAGGCCTACTCTGGGTCCTAGCTCCACCCCACCCATAATGCTTAAAGCCTGAACCACCAGGTACAGGGTGTAGGGCTCGGGGTTTACGGCTGAGGGTGAAGCCGCAAACATCCCAAAACCCTTCCACCTTTCCGCTCTCTTAGGCTTTAGGGTTTAGGGTTCAGGGTTCAGGGTTTAGGGTTTAGGGTTTAGGGTTTAGGATTTAGGGCTTAGGGTTTTGGGTTTAGGGTTTAGGGCTTCGGGGCCCTAAACTCCTCCCCCCGGCACCGCCTGACCGCGGCGCGCTTCGTTGCTTTGCACGGCCGCTGCGCCTCTGTTAGGGCTCCTACAAGGCTGATAGGGCGGCTGATAGGCCTCAACCCTAAACCCTAAACCCCAAACCCTAAACCCTAAACCCTTAAACCCTAAACCCTAAACCCCTAAACCCTAAACCCTAAACCCTAAACCCTAAACCCTAAACCCTAAACCCACGTGGCGCAGAAAGCTTGTAGGCAGTGCCAGGATGGGCCATGACGCCCGAAAGGGGCTTTCTACCGGGGCTTGTCAGCCTGATTCTTCGTTTGGAGTGAGGGTACTAGGGCCCTATATATACCCCTTAAGGGACTATATAGGGTACCTCACTCCCTCATTCCCTACGAAGAACTCGCCCACTATGAAGGGGATTGTGAGGCCCAGCGGCCACTGCTGGCGTCTTTTTGGGGGATTCTGTTGAGGGAGTCTGTGCGGGATCCAAAGGTATGGGCCTTTAATTTGGGTCCCCTGTTATATAACTACCCTTACATACACTATACAGAATAAGGGCCAATACTGCGGAGCCCTTTAAATCCCTTCAAAACAGGTTAAGGGACCCGTAAGGGACCATCCGAATGGCCCATGGTAGATAACCTTAACTATATAGAGTCCTATGAACCCTGAGCCCAAAAACCCTAAATCCCGGACCCTAAATCTTGTGTCTGGGAATCGGGGATTGGCGTTTATAATGGACATGGGGTGCGAGGCAGAGGAGTGATGCAAGAGAGGGCCCCCAAGGTTTAGGGTTTAGGGCTTAGGGTTTACTGGGTTGCCCAGTAACCTGGGACTAAAAAGGGTGCCCTTTTTTGGGAACCTAACCCCCCAAAAAGGGAATAAGGGCCCTACTGGGCAGGGTTTATCCCAACCCCCCATTTCCGACCAATGCGCTGGCGGCCAGCAGGGCTGCCAGCCATGCGGCACGCATGTTGGGCCAGTGAGCCCGCGGCTGCGAGGTTTCAGGCGTTTAGGGGTTAGGGTATCTAGGATGCTCAGCAACCCAGGATTAAAAAGGGTACCCTTTTTTGTTTAAAGGGGTTCATAAGGGAACCCAACCCCTCCATGTACACCCGATATATACCCCCTAAAGAACCCCCTAAATGAACCCCTAAGATGCCATATAAGGGGCCCTCCTTTAGTCCCTTGCGCTTGAGGATGCTTGGGTTCGAGGGTTCGAGAGTTTAGGGTTGAGGGTTGAGGTTTCGGGGTTTAGGATAAGCGGTTGAAGGTTAGGGTTTATGGTTATAGGGTTTAGGGTCTAGGGCTTAGGGCTTCTGGTTTAGGGTTTAGGGTGTAAGGTCCTTACAAAGACACCCTGAGTAGGGGCCCTGGGTGGTGGTGCCTCTATGGAGCCCTCATGTGCACGTGTCCAATCGAAGCCCATGGCCCACACATGGGTATCTTTCTCAAAATAGTACCCCTACTACAGGCCCCAACTACGAATGTCCTGATTATAGGAACCCCCCCCCCAAAAAAAAAAAAAAAACGCTATCTAAACCCTAAACGCCCTAAACCCTAAAAGCCCTAAACCTTACAAGCCCTAAACACCGAAGAAAGCCCCAAAGTCTTCAGTGCTCCGCAAACGCACGGCACAAAGGTACGCGGAGAGTTGCGGCTTCGAGGGTTTTGGGGGCCTCAGGACGTGGCTTGGTGTCCTACGCTAAACCCTAAACCCTAAACCCTAAA